TCGTGTCTGATGAGGCAATAGTCGTATGTATACAAAGACGTGATTAGTTTCTCGTACAAGAGAAATTACATTTTAATATGGCCGTCGGTGATTTTATTAAAATAGCTTTAAAAAAATAAGTGGTTGACCTATATACCAAAGTATAGTATTTATCATAGTATAATTTAGTGGTGTACAAACCGTCCTATAAGCTCAGTTTTTGAACAAAAGTATCGCAATTTTTGCTGACAATATAATACACGTTTTACATGTTATTGTTATTGCAGCTGATCCCTGTGATAAAAACCTATCTGCAACATCCATGCAAGAGAACCTTTATTCACCTCTATATCCCAAGGCATATCCAGTGGAAAAAATTTGCACAGTCACAATCATCGCTCCTCCTAACAAAAGTATTTTGATAACGTTCCTAGTGTTTGACATTGAGCACAATAGTTTTTGCGATTACGATTATCTAAAGGTAGGTTTTTTTTTCTCACACCAAAATTAAAAACCAAAAAGTTGCATTCCTGCTTTGTAGAATCCACGAAATACTTAGCACTGATACATGTAAGCATAACATGTTGGTTGTGTACAGTTCATATAAGAAAAGCAACATAATCTAAAAATCAATTTTAACATCTGTAGTGCTGCAGCTCTTATATACATCTTAATGAACATATAGTACTGAACTATAATAACCATGATAATTATATTTGTTGTTGCGATAAGGCACCACAATCTCGTTTGTGAAGGTTACAGGATAGCGTTGACGCTCCAATATTTTAGTCTACAATACCATTTTCATAATTTCTCATGTCAGAATAATCCATGGGAGGTGTTACAAAGTGGGAATGCTACTTTAAGCGTGGGTATTACACTCTACACAGTTTTAGTAACATATTGTACAATTAAATGTACATCAATACACAATGGTATTGTGATGACATTATTATAGATTATTTACATTATATCAAAGAATATTTATTAAATATTGAATCAATATTAAATTAATATTTCGGCGGATAAACTTACGAACATAGGTCTCAGTGTTTGTTCACTTGCTATAATCGTTATAACAGATACTTGCGATTAAACGTACATATACACAACGGTAACATTCTTTACATAAACTCATTTTACATCAGTTATTTAAATTATAAATGCAATTGTATTACATTTATACATATCAGTGTAGATAATTACAATTGCATTTACATATATGAATTTTCTTTTTCACATTTTGCAAATAAATACATACTAGAAGCTTATAATGTCATGTTTATTTATTTATATATAAATGAAATATTGTGCAAAGCTAAAATTTGCTATTTACAATAATTAAATAAATCTCTGCAAAAATAAACAATATTGTCATTTCGACATAATTCAGAAATAATACGAGAAATGCATCAAAATAAATAATTGATTATTTTCAAAATGTGTCAGTCCTATGAATGCATAATTGAGATTGTACGATACATTGTTCTAATGTATACAATCCTTAGTCACATATAGCATAATGCAATGTTACCATGGGTTATGGTTTTGAATTTATGCCCCAGATTATGAATACCAGATTTGACACTAAATTAGTATTTATCAAAATTTTGTTTTTGTTTTATTGCTGGGAAAACAAAGAAAAATGATGGAAACTATAGTACATAGACAGTTTGGTAAAGAAAGTCACTTCACGAAATTAGTGTACGCGAAACATGTATAAAAGCCTGCCGACTGTTTTCAGTACCGTAACCAGATTCACATCGTCTATGCTATGTAGTGAATGTAGTGGTGTGTACGGCGCTGGGGGGGGGGGGTTATGGTGTTGTTCGGCAACTGAAATTAAAACATTTTTGTTTTTAAGGATATAACTCCGCTCGCCAAAGTCGGGTATACCACTAAATATAGCAGGCATGTATATATCGTGGTTATTGCCTTAATTGCCACAATCTGTGTAATTTGTTTCATATAAACAACATGGAATATAATAAATTAATAAAGGCAATAATGTTCAATGTATACAATATTACCAATTACAGATACAGGATAATATGAACTCTGATCTTAACGTCAAACTGTGTGGGGGACTAAGACCGCCACCCTGGATTTCCTCTTCTAATGTTGTTACTGTGACGTTCCGAAGCGATACAGAGTATACTGCCCGAGGTTTTCACTTGGTTTATGAGGCAGTTAATAGTACGCAATACACGATGCGCTGGGAAGTAGGACCCTGGTCTAACGTGAGTATTTGTTGTAAGGTAAATTGAGACTGTAAATTGTATACAATAAACGATGACGTGAGTAGAATGGGCATGATTGCAGGTAAGTAATTGTCGTAAGATTAATTGAGACCGTGAATTGTGAAATGAGGGCCGCGATCTCCGTCGAGCATTAGTTGTAAATTAAATCTGTGAATTTCACAAAACAAACGATGGCATAGGAAGTAAGGTCATGAGTGCAGGTAAAATAATAGATGAGTAAAGTCATTAATATTTGATATGGCATTGCTGCACATAACTACATACTCGTATTGGTACAAACCATTACGCTTAATTAATTAATTGAGGATTTATATAGGGCCTAAGTGACGGGTACGCAAGAATAACTATTTTTTTAATTATTTTCAGTGTTCAAAACGTTGTGGCGGAGGTGTACAAACTAGGGCTGTGATGTGTAATGGGGCATCCCAAACAGGAGAAGTTACTAATTTGGACGAGTGTAAAGCCATTGGTTCAAGACCAGTATCGACTAAAGTATGTAAGCAGGAAGTATGTGGTAAGTATGATTCATTTCACATCGGTATAGACTGTAAGTATAACAGTAGTCGACATGTGACGTATGCATAATAGTATATTATTTCTTGTTGTAATTCCCTGACTGTTGCTATGACAATTGACCTATTTTCTGCAATTGACATCATCGCTCTTGTCACAAATCACCGAGATTGTCACAGTTAATATTACATGTAAATTTCGACAGGAAAAGATCCTAATACACTAATGAACGTCTTTGCAAGTGTCCAGTAAGAGAAATTGACACAAAAGAAATTAAAAATATACAATGCCAATATTGCTAAAATAACCCATACTTAAAAATAAGCTAACCAAAATGGCCACTAATTCACAGTAACATTTGGAAGCCCAGCCTATTTTTACAAAAATTTCTTGTGTACCTTACTTTGACATCATTTGGTACAATGTTACCTCTACCGATTTTCCCGTTTTAAATGAAGCAACATTTGGTGTCATTCATAACGAATGAGTTTTGAACAGTATGTATGTTTTCATGCAACACAATGACAGGGCTATACGTACATACCAGTTACACGAATCGATCCCATATTTTACAAAGTGTTGATATTGTATGACGTTACTTTATTTGAAGTTTCAAGCTGCGCTAAAATAAACCAATGCCCTAGTTGATCTTATCAGTATTCAATTACGTGTACATTAGTATTGGTGCCACATTTCCTCGTACTACATCAATCACAAATAACGTCAAGTTTGTGCCAATGATTCACATTTTTTGGCAATATCCCCAAAAATGTATACAATATCACGCATTTCTTGAAACATTCTCAAGTTTAAGAAAGATTGATCGAAAATTACTTTAGTTGCAAGACAGTGTTATGATAAGAATGGCGACGGCAACGACATTCATTGTAACCCCTACACCCTTCCACTACATAATCATTACGGACAGAGCAAACGTGCTGAAATATTAATCAGTTTTGACAACATTGATTTACGCGCTCATTTGAAAAGACATTGATGAGTATCGCAAGATGATAGTTAATTATAATATATATTTCAGAGTCCACCTGTCAAAGTAGACTAACCCACTGCTGTCAAGTAATACAATCGAAAGGATACCCAGATCAATACACTAATGGACAGAATTGTTATACCAATATTATTAACGAAGGCGGCTGTATCAACATCACTTTCTCCGACTTTCCCTTGGAACAAGGTGGATCATGTGGTGATTTTGTCGAGGTTTGTGTGTTTTCTGCATATTGTTAGCGAAATGGTTGTTATGGTGTTACGTTGTAATTAAATAGAGGGATGTTTCCACAATACAGAGGATATGATATAACTCTGTACCTTGTTGTTTACCCATATTGATTATTTTGTTTCAGCTTTCTGATCATAACAAACCAACATTGTATCGAAGGATTTGTGACATGGAAACTGGCGACAGTAATCCAACCTGGGGGTCTTTTTCTGGTAATGTTAGCGTAACATATCGCAGCAATGGAGAACAACGTGCTCGAGGCTTTAGTGCTGTGTATCATTTCCTGCCCTGTGGATTGTGGCATGTATCAGCATGGAGTAAGGTATTAATACTAATATCAGGGGGGAATTCTTCTCCACGGGGGTCTCCACACTTGTCAGGGGGGAATCTCGTCTCGTCTCTATATCTCGTCCCCTTGAGGTATGGGATCGGGAAAGTCACTTATACTTTACAGTCAAATAAGACACACACACAACGAAATACGTTTCAGCTCTCGTCTTAGTCGGTCAATCGAGCACTCTATCAGACACAGCGCCCTGGGGAAAAATCCCCAAGACTATCGCAAGGCTGACCCAAGACTAGCCCAAGACTGGACTTTAGACTGCGTCTGTCGTGCTGTGCTCCCCAAGACCAATTCAAACTCTCTTTATTCATTTTCAAAACTCTAACCAATTACAAAGCAGTATTAAGACTCTAAGGCGTAACCTTCAATCATAAAGGCAATCACACTAAGTACTGAATACGTCATATCTTTGATTAATCGTTCACTACATTAATAACTACGAATACCAACTGTCAGAATTCGTAGTCAGAATAGCGACGGTTATCTCGTAATTAGTTCCAAATCACTGAGCCAAGTTCCGTCCAAAACTTCAAATAGGCCTAAACGATGACAGACATAACACGTTAATTCGCTAATAATCAGCTAATTAAGTCGGTCAACAGATACGCGTAAACAAATTCCTGACACTAATAACACCATGCGTAATAATCTCATTCTCTGTCAGTTCATGGTAAATAACCAATAGTTCCAGATATTTTAAGAATGTTTGAGATATGCAGAATGCTAAACTGAAAACTACATCCGCCCTCTCTGTGTCTCATTATGTATTAAAATTTAACCATGTGAAATATATAGATGTGTTTGCTTCGGTAGCACATATACTAAAATTGGAACGATACAGAGAAGATTAGCATGGCCTCTGCGCAAGGATGACACGCAAACTCGTGAAGCGTTGCACATAAAAAAAGGAAAAAAAATATATATAGAGAGAAAACTGCTTATGAAATACACATTAATGAACATATTTCGGTCTCGGTAGTGTTGAAAGAATATAAAGTTTGATTTCAAGAAACACACACAACCGGCAGAGAAGGCGTACTGAAAGCACACACAGATAGCCACAATCAATGTAATGGTCTAGCTAACAACATTCTCATTTGAACTAAGAATCATAATAGCTATATTGCGACGAGAATGTACGTTACTTCTTCATACAAGAGTGCAAATGCCAAAACCAACAAGACAATGTTCATTTTAAAGTATGACAGATGGGATTTTATTGAATACATTATTATGCATGGCTAGGAACATATTGTATTGTGAGTCGTTTGCCGAAAGGTTATTTTCTCAAAGTGTTGGAAAAATGCAAGACATCGTCTATCAAGTATTACATTTGGTGCCAGTCGTCATGTTTAACGATAAATCTTTGGAAAAACTTATAAATCAAACGATCGGAATTGTTATTACACTGCATAATAATAATAATAATAATAATAATAATAATAATAATAATAATAATAATAATAATAATAATAATAATAATAATAATAATAATAATAAAAATAATACAAATAATAATAAGTAAACTTTTTTTCTGTTTTGTTATTTACCTCGAGATAAGTTGATAATTATATAAATAAAAGCAATAACAATTGGGAAATAAAGAAACCCACTACGTTCTGTGACGATATTGGCTAGAACTACATTTAATTGACACGGACAAAATGAAATCGCTTTTAAAAGTTTAAACTCCGGGAGCTATTTAACAAACAAATTCTGAAAAAATATTTTATATCTACCAGTAACAAACATTTTGGAACAGAACAATTTTGGCAATGTTGAGAGTTGCTAGTAATTCATTACGTGTGGCACGAGTGTATGAGGAATGACAATATTTTAAATGTAAGCAGCTTACAAATGTGAGGTTTTATGATCAAGTTGGCAAATATTTTTTAGTCTGTTCCTTTACTATTTCATTACTCACACTCATATCTTTCATTTCATTACTCACACTCATCCTCTTCATATCTTTGTCGATACATTGTAAATTTTGTTCTTTTCAAATAGTGCAACGTAACATATGGCGTTGGTAGAAGATACCGTAGAGTGGAGTGTCGTAGCCGCGCCACAAATGAGTTCATTGAAAATTCATTCTGTGAAGGTCTCAAGCCAGCAACTGAGGCAAAATGTACCATGCCAACTACACTGCGTGCGTCCCCAATTAAAGGTATTATTGAATTTTCATTCTATTTAAAAAAAATACTTTACATCGAAAAACCTAATATATACTGTGAATTATTTTTTCTGTGTAGATATTGTGAATATACATTCTCTGCAAGAAAGGTATCAAGAACTTACGCAAGACACTCGTTTATTCGACGAATTTCGTGTAAACTACTACCAAGGAAATCATTTCTACCAAAGCGACCTGGCAAACAATGACACCCCTGATTGGAAGCGTACGTTGTTATAAATTTGTATATAATACATTAAGTTTTATACACTATTCAATTGGTCGTGGTTTTAGTTTAATATACTCGGTTTATTTACTCCCGTTTATACTAAACAAACACAAGGTATATTTTGTGTCCTTCCGCTGCAGGTTATCTCACTTACAGCTCATCCACAGACTATAGCGATCTCCGTGATGTATTGACACTAAATATGTCCGACGTCTTCAAATATGGTCACCAATTCGAGGATTTTGTGTTGCAGTGTGCCTTCAATGAAAATAAATGTGACCAAAGGTAAGGTATTAATCACATTTGCTCAATTTATGTAGAGTTACAAAGTAGTGAGCTTTTTCGGGTTGCATCTGGATATTTTAAATATCGACATCCCTGCCTGGATCATTTCGATTAAAAAATGTTTGATAGTACCTGTTCCTGGTGGAGTTAAGGTTTCCACCGAGTTTGGGATTCTCATCATTAAAGAATGTGTTTTCATAGGTTGGCTTCAATACGAGATGTACGAGATACGAGTATGTACCAGGTGACCTATCTTCATGGTGGAATTGCTGAATTATGTACGTGAATCTTTGCCAGGCTATAAGGGCATCTACAGGCTTGGTTCACTGCTTCACTACAGTATAGTACATACATTGTATAAGCGGCATACTCGTCCATGTTGTCAACTAACATCAAATATGGCCTGGAACAATCAAAATTACGAACAGATCGATAAAACTATAATTATATTAAAGCATTTCATAATTCTCCAATTCGAATGCATGGATGAAAGCCACTATGAACTATTGTTACGTATAAAATCATTTTTTACGCACATGAACAATTACGAGAATAAATTATATTTTAACAAACTAGAACTAAACATACCTGAAAATTACGAAAGGTTCATAAAAAACGTTGCTATGGTATTTGAGAAACATAATTGTTATCGCCAATCACAGATTGAAATTTTCTCGAAATTGTATTACGTACAATTTCGCTTTAACTTTTCAACTTTTTCATAGTACAGTACTATACTCGGCGAGCTCCCCTATTGTGCCGCCTAAAAATTTTGGACTAAATTTGTGTTCAAAATATCGAAGCAGTCGATGTGATATTGTCCACATGACTCAATTGTTTAAATTCCATTTAGAGATTATAGCGAAACAAAACAAGTTTCACATTGCCGCTTTTGTTGATAGCTTGTACCGCGCCATTGTTTTCCCGTTCCATTTATTCTTCAGTCACACTCACGAGTATATGCCAGTCGTATAATTAAGTAAACGACAGTACGGAATATTAATACTCATAATCGCTTTAGATTCAAAATTAAACTCTTACCAACTTTTACTCTCCAGCCAATTGTAATTCCTGGTGCCATAATAAAATACATAGATATACGCAATCTCATAACAATGATAGAAAAAATGAAATGTAATATACCACATTTTATGTTTCATATTTGATTACATTGAATTATGCTTCTTTGTCTTTTATTTTAGTGACTTCTCCACTTTCCAAAATGATAGGTATGGCAACTGTTTCACGTTCAACAACGTCAGAAATGACGCCCTCACACGTCGAGCTGACAAAATGGGTTCTCAATATGGTAAGAAACAGTGTAAATCGCGTTGTTTTATATTGAGTAGTAATCTTTTGGTCAACGATAAGATGGAATGAAGCGAGCGATGTTTGCAAAAAAGTGTTTAAATATTGCATATCTTCGTGATAAATTCAATTTAAAATAACAAATGATCAGAAAAGTAAAAGGTCCGACGATTACCGTTTGTTACACAGGATTGAAACTTACGTTGTACATTGAGCAGGACGAGTATATACCCTTATATGGTCAGGAAGCCGGCGTACGTATACTGGTGCACCCTTCTGATATTACACCTTTCCCGGAAGATGATGGTATAACAGTTGCACCGGGGCGGAAGGCATCAATTGCCTTGAGAGAGGTGAGTTGACTTTAGTTTGATCTATCAATCGATTGTTCATTCATTCATTCATTCATTCATTCATTCATTCATTCATTCATTCATTCGTTTGTTTGTTTGTTTGTTTGTTTGTTCGACTATTAAATACAGCGTTTGCTAGTCACTTAAATAATTTGTAAATTGTAAAAGATTTTTAGTTTACTGGCAACGATCGAATAACTGACATGCCACAGACAACGGATTGTCTATAATCTTCAACTTGTTTTATGCCTGTGATACCGTGACAATTACTTTTATTTGATTTGTCTGTTGTTTTATTAAACATAGTAGTGTTGATTAATTGATGGCGAATGTATTTGTCGAAAAACAAAATAATAAATTGTTTATAATTCCACAAGTTTTTCCAATAATGTCTGAAGCTCTCTCGTCCGCACTCAATCCAGCCCTATTATTGTGAGCATGAAGAATTCACACTTTGTGTTTTCTAAAAACACGGTCGAAGTAACGTATACAATGCATTTAAAACGAATTGGTCGAACGCGTTGGGCGATGACACGACGCTCTGAATACTAAATACAATTACACAACTAATTTTGAAATAAGATATTAATTTATTTTCAATTACACATAATGCCGTATAGCGGAAAACATATAGTCCTACATGACACACGATTATAACCCACAGTAAAGTTAAATTTGTAGAATCAACTGGTGCTACATTTTATGATTTTCATAAATAAATATCTATGATGTTCTTTTATTAGGAATTACATTCTTCTGTTGCCCACCCATACAGTAATTGTGAGAATAATCCTCAGATTGATTCCATATTCGGTAGCCAATACAACTATTCTGTACAGGTTAGTTTTTAGTTTTTGTTGTTTGCATATTCGACAGTCAATACGAATATTCTATGTTTGTTATTGTATTATTTATTTAATTCCCACAATAACTGCATTTACACCGTGGTTCATCCGTATAAGCTGGATTCAGAGTGAATTGTCATCCGAAGACACCAATAAGACATTATGACTTCTTATTTGGATGTTTATAAAATATTATATACAAAATAATTACATAAGATGTTTTTATTTGTCTGTACAAAGGAGTACAAAAATAGTGATAATCGACCACGAATAGAGACCGATTCTTGGTAATCAGTATCAAGATAAAAAAATATTCTCAAAAATACATCAGTTAATGATAGATTTATATACAACAATATGAAATTAATTTTTGTATGAAGAAATTACATAATCACAATTTGTGGTAATTTATAAAAAAAAAAAAACAGTTTTGAAATAATAATATCTGAAATATTTGAACTCTACATTGGGATATTTTTCAATTGATTATTGCATGAACAATTTTCATACAGTCATGTTTTTCAAGACGATGTACCCAGGTAGCATCTAGCTCAATCCAAAGCCAGTCGATTATCAGCGTGTTGTATTAACATACAGTACTATCTAGATAATTATAATCCTAATTTATATGTTTGTTCTAGGCGTGTCGAAAAACATATCTACATCAGAAAATCCAACAGAAGTGCAATTGCCGAGACACACTGTGGCTGAGTAAAGATCGACCGGCATGTAAAATAACTAACACTGCTCAAGGTGAAGAAACAATGTAATCCGAACACAGCATAGTAGTACAGGAACATAGTATAGTACTACAAGAACATAGCATAGTAGTGCAGGAACATAGTATAGTACTACAAGAACATAGCATAGAAATACAGGAACATAATACAAAGACACAGGAGCATAACACAGTAGTATATGAACATAACATATCAACACAGAAACATAGCAT